CCTTCCTCCCTCTTTCTTTCTTTCTTTCTTTCTTTCTTTCTTTCTTTCTTTCTTTCTTTCTTTCTTTCTTTCTTTCTTTCTTTCTTTCTTTCTTTCTCTCTCTCTCTTTCCTTCCTCTTTCTTTCTTTCTTTCTTTCTTTCTTTCTTTCTTTCTTTCTTTCTTCTTTTCTTTTCTTTTCTTTTCTTTTCTTTTCTTTTCTTTTCTTTTCTTTTCTTTTCTTTTCTTTTCTTTTCTTTTCTTTTCTTTCTTTTTCCTTTTTTTCCCCCTGACTGGTCTGGAACTCACTCTGTAGACCAGGCTGGGCTTGAACTCAGATGTCTGCCTGCCTCTGCCTCCCAGTGCTGGGATGAAGGGTGTGCCCAGCACGCCTGGCTGACGGCACATTTTAGCCACAGCACCTAGGCTCTACTTGCTTCATTACTTCCTTACCTGATGTCCCCACAGTTGCAGGTTCCGTTTAGCAGTGTGATGTGGGCTGTTGGGTAAGGGCCTGAGGATGCTTCCAGCACTCCTTGTTCTGAAATATTAGTTCGGTCTGGAGTTAGTGAACCGTGAGAGGGGACCGCCTAACTTGGCTTCCAAATCGGCCACCAAGCACAATGGCACACACCTGTAGCCCCAGCCCGTGGAGGCCTGTCCCCAAACTGACCAGCCTCCTAAGGGCCTTATAGATCTTTGGGCTCCTCGATGCCTGCGGCTGGATCACAGGTCTCCAGGGAAAGCTAGCTGCAGCTTTCCCGTGCTGGCCACAAACCCGAGCCTCCCAGTTTTGCAGAGAAGAAACTGCAAACTCCCAACCTTTTATTTTTTAGAAATTTCAAACTTCAAAAGGTTGAAAGGACGGGACACCCATGAGCCCTTCCTATGGATTCTCTAGAGTTTAAATTAGTTCCCTGCATTTCTCTCCCATAGATCAATCATGCTCATCCCTGGAGGGAGGCAGGGCTGGTACTGGAGACATGGTCCCCTAGCCGCCTGGGGGAGCTGACTCCTGTACCCTTGTGACCGGTCCCTGGCAGTCTTCGTGTGCTCCCTGACTTTCTCACACACTGTGTCAGGCTTAATTTGTAGTTTGCTCTTCCTGGGCCTAGAACGATGATTTTCCGAAGCCGCCCTGGTTTCATTTAGAAACCAATCTAGTGGCTAGCGTCCTGGTTACCAGGGTCGACATTTCTAGGTCTTGTAGGCAGACCCAGCTAGGTGTTCACTTTGAATGGCTGCACACTGTTCCAGGAGCTAGCTAGAAAAGATGCTTCTACTCATCCCTCCGTTGATGAACATTTGTATCAGGTTGTTCACCCTTACACAGTTCGGTGGGGCTGGAGAGATACCTCAGTGGGTCAGAGCACTTGCTGCTCTTCCGGAGGCCTGGAATCTGGCTCCCAGCACCCACATCGGCCTCTCATAGCTGTCTGTAACACCAGCTCCAGTGGATCTGACAGACTCCACCGGCCTCCACAGGCATGCACACAGTTGACACACAAACATAAAGAGAAATTAATCCTTTGAAAGAACAGAGAGATGGTTAAAGGCACCAGCTGCTTCTCCAGACGAGCCAGGTTCAATTCCCAGTACCCCCATGTCGGCTCACAACTGTCTGTAACTCCAGTCCCAGGGAATCTCTCGCCCTCTTCTGACCTACCTGGCACCACACGTGCATGTGGTACACACATGCTGACACACATAAAGTCACAAAATAATCCACTTCATTTCTTAAAATGTCTGCCTCAGCCCCTTACACACATGCCAGTTTGCAAATGTAGGCAGTTCCGGAAAGTAAATTCCTAGAAGTGAAAGGGATGGATGGGTCAGCTGAACTCGGAGCAGACGGCATTTGCTGTTAGGTGTGACCCTCCTAAGGGTCGCCCCACTCACAGCCTGCCATCACCTGACCACTTCCCCGACTCTCCTTTGGAGGCCGAGATCCCGGGATGCATGGCATTCACCTCTCTTCTTCCCGTGGTTACTCTGCATAGTATTTCCGTCTTTAATTTCCCTGTGGACTGCCAGCGTCTGCTTCTTTGACCTTCTCTTCCATCCTCTATCACTGCTGTGCCTGCTCCAGTGTCTAAAAGTTGTATGTGGGGAAGTCTTTTTCCTGCAAAACCAGGGCTTTACAGGGATTTTTTTTTAATTTCACGGTGATGTTTTATTTGTTTTTTATAGAGAATGCATACATATTTTTAAAATTTGCTGCTTTTATTTTTCAGTTACAGTGACTTTAAAATTATTATTAAATATTTATTTTAATTTTTTTTTCAAGACAGGGTTTTTTTTGTGTGTGTATCTCTGACTGTCCTGGAACTTGCTCTTGCTATATAGACCAGGCTGGCCTCAAACTCAGAGAGATGTGTCTGCCTCTACTGCCCAAATGCTGGGATTAAAGGCGCATGCCAGCACCACCTGGCCTTAAAAATTATTTTAATTTCACTTAAGTTTGCAGTTGAGTCTCAGATAATTCAGTAGGCTGGTGAACTCACCATGTAGCCAAGGCTGACCTTGAGCCAAGGCTGGCCTTGAGCCCCTGATCCTCTTGATTCCACCTCACCAGTGTTTATTTGCATGTTTGTGTGCATTCGTGTGTTATATACATGCTTGAATACAGCACACGTGTGAGGTCAGAGGGCTGCTTTTGGGAATGGACTCTCCTTCCCCCTTGTTGAAGCTGGGCCTCTGTGTACTCTAGCTGGCCAGCAGTGTCTGAGGGATGGACTTGTCTCCACCTCCCATCTCACCGTGGGAGTGCTGAGATTACAAATACACACCGCTGTAGCCAGCGTTATATGTGGGTTCTGGGGACCAAACGAGGCTCTTCAGGTTGTACAGCGAGTGCTTTTACCTTCCGCCATGGGCTTGTGAGGGGTTGGCACCAGAACTGACGTGGGAGCTCTGGCACACTTAAGTTTGTGGCCTTGTTCTCCAGGGTGACTTAAAGGTGGAAGCGAATAGTCATGTCCAGTTTTGCAGAGGTCGTTTGGGCCAGTCCTCACATTTGTCTGCCGTTTTAGAGTTATGTGTCTCCATGCTGCTGTGTGCGTTGCCGGCCTCACTGCCATGGTGTCCAAGGCATGTAGTAGATTACTTACAGTCATCACAACGTGGTTCTGTTTCCTTTCACAGGGTCTCCAAAAAGCCTAGGGAAATGAAAGGCAAGAAAAGCAAAAAGATTTCTCTGAAATACACGGCAGCAAGACTACATGAAAAGGGAGTTCTTCTGGAAATTGAGGACCTCCAAGTAAATCAGTGAGTGTTTCCTTTTTATGTTCACATGTGTCTGTGCATGTGTGTGTCAGGTGCCCTCTTCCTCTTCACCCTATCTTCTGGGGCACGGTCTTTCACTGAGTCTGGAGCTCATCAGTTCCACTAGGCTTCTGGCTGCCAAGCCCCCGGGCTCTGCCTGTGTCCACCCCCCCCTCCTCCCCAGTGCTGTGGTCACAGGGATGCACTGCTGGGCCCAGGTGTTTCCATGGACGTTGGGGATCTGAACTTGAGGTCCACATGCTTGGGCAGCAGCACTTTTCCTGCGGAGACATTTTCTCCCATATTTCCATCTTAACTTTGTTTTAGAATCTTTTTATTTTTAATTTTGAATTCATCCCATTGTTATCTTATTGTTCTTACTTCTCTTTCTAGGGGGCTTTTTTTTATATATATTTTATGCACTTATATAAAAATATATGTTTTTAATGTGCAGAGCTATGTTTTACAAACATTTCATTAACCTGGCAATAAAAGAGAATGCATTTTTAAAATTATGCTTATTTTATATGTGTGCACACACACATAGTATATATATACATGGAGGTCAGAGGACAACTTGCAGAAGTTGGTTCTCTCCTTATACCATGTGGGTCCCAGGGGTGGAACTCTAGTAATCAGGCTTGAGGACAGGTGCCTTTATTCCCCAAGAGTTTGCCACCTGAGAACAAATTTCTTGTTCTCATTGTCCCAGGCGTGTTGACACCAGTGTGCACACACCTCATCGTAATCTTGCAGGAAGCCATTCTTTCTTTTTCTTTTTTTTTCCAAGACAGGGTTTCTCTGTGTAGCTTTGGAGCCTGTCCTGGATCTCACTCTGTAGATCAGGCTGGCCTTGAACTCACAGAGATCCACCCACCTGCCTCTGCCAACCGAGTGCTGAGATTAAGGGCGTGTGCCACCACTGCCCGGCCTCATTCCTTCATTTTTTGTGTCTGACCAAGACATACTGTCTTAGGTACTGTTCTGCTGCTGTGACAAAACACAATGACCACAGCAACTTAACAAAAGGAAGCATTAGTTTCAGAGGGTTAGTCCATGATCATCATGGCAGGGAAATTGGCAGCAGGTGGGCAGGGATGGCATTGGAGAAGTAGCAGAGAGCTCATCTGAGCCACAGGTAGTAAGCAGACAGAGAGAGCAAGACTGGGCCTGCTGTGGGCTTTGACATCTCAAAGCCAGTGGCTCACCTCCTCCAACAAGGCCACACCTCCTAGTCCTTCCCAAACAGTTCCACTCACCTCCTCCAACAAGGCTATACCTCCTAGTCCTTCCCAAACAGTTCTACTCACTGGGGCCCAATCATTCAAACGTATGGCCTATGGGAGCCATTCTCATTGAAACCACCCTGCATGCCCACAAAAAGCATTCACCTTGTTCCACAGAGATCAGCTGCATCCTTCCCAGACGCCCAGCTGGCTTTGCCCCTGGGTCAGAACAGTTCAGGTCTGACCCAGTGTCCTCTGGCAGCCCTAGCCTGCATTGTTAGAAAGAACACATTGAGCTTGGACTGCTGACCATCCCTTCCTTTATTCCAGAAGGTTCTTAGTTCTTCTGATTCTGAAATATGTATGACTGACTGACCTTTGAAAGCAGGGCAAAGCATGAGAGAGGCACCTGGGACTCCATGAGCTAAAGGGGAAACTCTTGAGGTAGTTAACTTCCTTCTATGCTTTTGTTCAGAGAAAGGCAATCTGTCTGCTGTGTGCCTAAGTAATCTACCTCACTTTTTGAACATGAATTAGGATATTGTTGGTTGTCACGTATCCAACTTTTATTGATAATGCTGTATTATGAGACATTTTCATACTTTTTGGAAGCATCTTTGAGCTGAGCAATGGTGGTTCATGCCTTTAGTCCCAGCACTCGGGAGGCAGAGGCAGGCAGATCTCCAAGTTCGAGGCCAGCCTGGTCTACAGAAGGAGTTCCAGGACAGCCAGGGGAACACAGAGAAACCCTATCTTGAAAATCCAAAAAAAGAAAAAGAGAAAGTATCTTTTATAATGGCTACGTGTTTCCTATCTTGATCTAGTTTAGAGCACTTGATTATACTTTTTTATTCTGTTGCTGTAATCTTGATGACACATATCAACCAGTGCTTGCATTAAGCCATGTGAGGGGCCATCTTTTGTGGGATGGTTCCTGGCTATGCTGCTCAGGCTGATACTGAATTAACAACTCAATAAACTTCCCGCCTCATTCTTCTGCACATTTAGGACTATAGGTACACAGCATCTGCTCAGTTTTGTTTTGTGGTGGTGGTGACAGAGCCTCACTGTAGCCCAAGCTGGCCTCAAATCCTCCTCCCTTAGCCTTTGCTGTGCTAGGATTACAGGCATGCATTGCCACTCCATGTTGTGGAATAATCTTTTTGTACACTGTGAAGAAATGTCACTCTGATTGGTTTAGTAAAAAGCTGAACAGCCAATAGCTAGGCAGGATTTCTAGGCATAAAGAACACTGGGAAGAAGAAGGGCGGGGATGCGAGGAGATATGGAGGAAGCAGAAAAGCAGGATGGATAGTACGTAGATGAGGTAAACGAGCTTGGAGCAGCACATAAATTAATAGAAATGGGTTAATTTAAGTTATAAGATCTAATTAGAAACAAGCCTAAGCTGTAGGCCAAGCTTTCATAATTAGAAATGTCTATGTTATTATTGAGGACCTGATGATCCTGACAAAAAATCCTCTTACAGAATGTGTACACTGTGTGAATGTGTGTTGCTGTGATTGGTGTAATAAAAAGCTGACGACCAATAGCTAGGCAGGAGAGGTAGGAGGGACTTCTGGGGGGAGGAAGAAGAGGAGGATCTAGGTACTCAGGAGAAGCCAGAAGACACGGAGGTGAAACCGGAGGTGAAAGATTGAGAGAGGTAACACCACGTGCTAGAACATCGATTAATATTAATATTAAATATTAATCTAAGTTATAAGAGCTAGTTAGGAACAAGCCTAAACTATAGGCCGAGCTTTCATAATTAATAAGAAGTCTCCGTGTCATTATTTGGGAGCTGGTTGGTGGGACAGAAAAAAGACTCACTACAACTCTGGACCATGATTGCTTTTTAAAATAATAGATGCCTACAAATTGATTTTCTGATCAAAGAGTGCTTTTTAAAACTATTACAAAAACACATGGCATACAGTTCACACTGTGACCATTTCAAGGGTGCATGCAGTTCAGTGTTCGCTGGTAGTTCTGCCACATCACTGGGAGGTTTGCATCTTGCACGACTCGCCCCCTGATTCTCTCTAGCCAGCCTCTGGCGGCCACCATACTCTCTATGGTCTTTGCTTTTGACTGCATTGTGAAGCCATGTACTTTTTATCTTTTGTGACTGGCTCGGACATTCACTTAGCATGGTGTCCTAGAGCTTTAACCACATGACAGGATTTCCTTCATTTTTAGTTTGAAGGCTGAATAATATTCCATTGTCTCTGTGTACCACATTTTGTTTCTCATTCATGCCCTGATGGACAGGCACTGTTTCCGCTCTAAGCTATTGTGAGGGCCGTTCTCTCAAGTCTTCCGGCGTATGCCCGGAGGTGGGGTGGAGGACCATGCGGAATCTCACGTTTCACCTGCAGGAGGACTGCAGTTTTCCACAGTGATGGCAAAGCGTGCTGATACCGTCTGGCCACAGTAGTTTCAGCAGGGCCAGGACGAGCAGGAGCGTGCTCATGCCGCTGCTCCTCCTGTCAGTGAGGAAAGCAGTTCATAGTTTCAGACACTCTGTCAAGGCTGGAGAATGCTCAGCAGTGAAGAGCGCTTGCCACTCTGGCAGAGGACCTGGGTTCCATTCCCAGCACCCAGGCCAGACAGCTCACCGTCCCTCTGACTCCAGCTCCAGGGATCCAATGCCTCTTCTGGCCTCCATAGACACGCATGCTCACACACAGACATAACATACATACACATACATTTCTTTCTTTTTTTCTAAATTAAAATTGAAAGTGTTTCCTCATGGTATGTGTTTCTTAGCTTTCTGACTGAGGTGTTGTTTTGGTTTGGCTTGGTTTAGTTTTTGGTTTTTTAAGACAGGGTTTCTCTGTGTGGTCTTGGCAATCCTGGAACTCACTCCGTAGACCAGGCTGGCCTCGAACTCACAGAGATCCGCCTGCCTCTGCCTCCTGAGTGCTGGGATTAAAGTCGTGCGCCACCACTGCCCGGCCCTTTTTCTCCTTTTATCACTAACTTTCTATAGCAGCTTCAGGGAAGAGCCCCCTGGCATCACCATTTCAGGCCACTGGGGCATTCCCCACGGGCCTTCTTTGAACAGAATGCAAGTGCTTCAGAGGGAGGTGACCATTTCTCTCTCCAGCTCTCAAAGCGGAGGGCATGGCAGGATGTCCTGCCCATGGTGCCCCCCCTGCAGGAGAACTTTGGTCCTGTACCTTCTACCAGGCACCCCTGATGCCCCCCCACCCCCACTTCAGAGGATCATTACCTGCACATGTGAAGCTCACCCATATGGTGTTTGTTGTGTTTCAACAGGTTTAAAAACGTTATCTTTGAAATCGGTCCAACAGAAGAAGTTGGAGACTTTGAAGTGAAAGCCAAGTTCATGGGAGTTCAAATGGAGACTTTCATGTTGCATTATCAGGTGGGTACGCGTACGCGCACAGGCTCGGACCTGAAGCTCTCTGATGAGGTGGGAGAAAAAGATAAGAGAAGGCCCTTTGGGGAAGGCTGCCTGTGTTCAAAGGGCTCAGCGCCTGGTTGATGGGAGAAGCCAAGGGTCTGGGGAGTCGGGCATGGCCTGTGCCCTCTGGGAGCTCCCTAAAGTGTATGAGCTTCGGAGCGCATTGGTACCCGAAGCTTCACTCAGAGCGCCCTGAATTGAACTGGTGCCTGGCCCTGATGGAGGTGTTAACAGTGTGAAAGCGTGTGTTCCTCAGCACTTGAACGTTTTCCTCATTTGCATTTGCTATGGATACTTTTGTTAGGTGTATTACTGAAAATAATGTGGATAAGTTGCATCTTTGTAAATCAGAATCACATTTTAAATTCAAAATGAAATGTGTAATGATTTTGTTTTATGACATAATTATCCCTAATTTTTATTTTTAAGTATCTTCATTTTTTTTTTCCTGGTGCTCAAGTTTGACCCATAGGGACTCGTGCTTGCTAAGCAAGTAGTGCCCCACTGAGCTCAATTTCCAGCCCCAAATACCTAATTTTGGGAAGTGGTAGGAATCTCATGTAGCCCAAGCTAACCTCAATGCACTATTGTAGTTGAAGCTGGCCTTGAACTCCTGACTCTCCTGTTTCTCCCAAATGCTGGGGTTATAGATATGTGCCACTATTGCCTAATTGCCTAAATATCTGTTTTTGCACATTAAAAAATATCTACCCAGTGGGGATGGTGGCACACAACAATAATCCTAGCACTCAGGATGCAGAGGCAGGAGGATTCAGAGTTTGAGGCCAGCCTGGACTTCTTTGTGCATTCCAGGTCAGCCTATATAGTGAAAGCCATCTTCAAAATCCAAGGCCAAAAATAATCAGAAAATTGAGAGGATTCATAAGCGATATCCAGACCCCTCTAACTTGGTGTGGGTGCTACCTAATAGCCTCTTAGTTTTTACTGATTGGTTTGTTGATTTTGTAGTGCTGGGAGTCAGACCTAGGGTCTCGCACATGCTCTGCTGCTCACCTATACTTATCCATGTCCTATCCTGGCCCTGCTTCACACTGCTGTGATCTAGCAGAGCAGGCTGATGCCTTTCTGGGAGCGTTTAGACTTCTGCACGGGATGCTCGCCCCTCACATAATTGGGCTGCCCTGCCTCTCCTCCCTGCCCGCCTTCTGCCTCCAGCAAACAGTGAGCATTCGTGCGTGCATCGCCTCCCCTGCAGCCTTTCCCCGTAGCTACACGGGTGCCTCTTCCCTTGCCTCAGCAGCTCGGAGAGGCATCCCCTGTGGACCGTGTGAGCTGATTCACTTGCCTGCCACCCCCGAAGCTGTGAACTCTTCAAACAGCATGTCTTAGTCATCTCCATTTCCTTCTCGGTAACCAGTAGTCTCTCCGAGCATATTACTTAAATAAACGAGGAAGGATTTCATCATACACTGTCACTGAGAACTGCTGCCCACAGCCCCTGACCCCATGGGTCTCACCGTGTATGTAGAGGCCAGCGAGTCTGCTAAAGAAACAAACACTCGTGCTCAGATTCATTAAACTTGTCTGGCTCACGGGTGCATGGGGTCAGTTAGGCAAGGAGGACACACCAGGATCCCCATCCTCACGACACTGCGGTCCCTTCGTGCCCTTTGACCCTGGCTTTCTCATCACCGGTCTTGGAAGTTTAGCAGTCGAGACACTGCTGAGAAAGCAGCGTGTGTGAGGTCTGGGCCAGCCTTTCTGATGGCCATGCCACCCCACACCTTTGGGTGCCAGCAGGCTCCTCCTTAAAGCTCGGATGATCTCACCTCACAGGACTTGTGGGAGGCCTTGAAAAGATGCCGTGCCGTGTGCCTGAACAATGCCTTGCACAGGCGAGGCGTCCGATGACCGTGTGGTCCTCCTGTTTTGCTTGCCTTTACAGTAGGAAATCGTTCTCTGGTGGAGTAGAAGCCGGAGTCTGGCAGGGCTGGGCCTGCACATCAGAGAGTGCATCCATGTTCAGTCTTCAGAGGCCCTGGGTTCAGTCTCTTAAAACCAGGAGTCCAGGAGATCATGGAGCTGGAGACGCAGCTCTCAGTTGGTAGAATACTTGTTTGGCCTGCACTAAACCCTGGGTTTGATCCCAGCGCTGTAGAAACTGAGTGTGGTGGCCATACCCATTATCCCAGACACAGAGACAGTAGTTTGAGGCCAGCCTGTGCCAAATAAGACTGTGTCTCAAAAAAAAATCTAGTAGGTCCTGAGACGCTATCAGCCATTCTCATTTTCAGCCATTAGCAGATTTCACCATGAATTGAAATGTCTTTATTTTTTCCATGGGTACTAACACTTCTAACCTACAGCTGAAGCGGAATGGGGAAATGTCATTGTAACTTCTGAAATAAGGCTTAAGTGTACCTATTTTAACTGAACATACCTTGCCATGTTTAGAGTATTTTGCTATAAACTAAATGACTCCCTAAGACCTAGTTAGCCTGAAGATTGCAGGCTAACCAGCCAGCGCCCCCTGTTGCTGCAGCCCTCGGGGCGATTGTGTGCACTGGGAACTTCCATCTGACACATAAGGCCTGTCTCTGCCTCCTGGCTCCTCCTTCCGGGGGACCTTCCTTTTCTTGTTCCAGATCTGACAGCGAAAATGTTCTGTTTTGTCTTCAACAGGACTTGCTGCAGCTACAATACGAAGGGGTTGCGGTCATGAAGTTGTTCGACAGAGCTAAAGTCAACGTCAACCTCCTCATCTTCCTTCTCAACAAGAAGTTCTATGGGAAGTAACTGGTCGCCAGCTGCCAGCCCCTGAGAATTCAAAAGGACAGTGCCTCACCTCTGCCTTTCTAGGATCCTCCATTACTCCTTGGAAGCAAAGACCTTGTCCAGCGGTGCCGCAGTCTTGCACTCCCGAAGCCCATCTTTAAGTCCTCTCTCTCCGACAGGACATTCAGTGCCCTCTTTACAGTGAAGTCGTAGTTCAGACTTCATCACACACACACACACACACACACACACACACACACACACACACACACCACCCCCACTTCTCTCTTTTTCTTTCATCTTGTAGGAAAGAGTGGCGCCTCACCCAGCCCCTCTCTGTTAGGTCTCCTAAGTGGTAATGGCTACTTTGTAAACGGTGTTTGTTTTACTCAGCAATGGGATGGTGGGATTCAAATTCTTGTTTAGAAGTGACAGCTGTCAGGTGAACAGCGGACATTCGCATCAGAGTCACGGTCAAGGGTGGCCCATGATAGCCCATGCGCAATCAGAGGACTAAGTCTGTGGTGTCTTCCTTTCCGCTGCCTCTGTGGGCGGAGCTAAGTCCAAGTTCCTGTTCTCTGTTCAAAGGAAGCAGCTTTGGGAGAAAGAGCAGCTGCTTTTGATTCCCCACTAAACCTGGGCAGCACTCTTGGTGTGGTCCTTCCTGGTGAAGGAGAACCCCACGATCATCGCCACCCCTTTAGAGACGCTGAGAGTGGGCCCCAGCACCCACTCAGAGCAGTGCACAGAGTCCCACTCAAGGGCAGTGTCTGCTCCCTCGCTCTCTCCCACAAAGGGGTGGCTCACCCTGCCCCAAAATGTTTTCAAAACTATTTGTGTTCCAAGAGTGCCTTACTAAAGTATAAATTTATTTCTTGAAATGTGAGTCATAGGAATTTTAAAGATTTGTATAATGCTTTAGAATACCCTGAAAAGGGGTCATTTCTTATTGGGTTATCTGTATATCTGAATTCTTGAAGCTTCTCTATAACCTACATTAGGGTTTATCTACAGAGTCGGCAAGATCTTAGCAACAGCAGCCAGCCCATTTCATCTTTGAAGTTCAAATCCGTTTCTCACTCTCTGCTCTGCTGCCATATTCATGCTTGTATTCTGAGAAGCCTGGACCCTTAGGCTTCAACTAACAAAAACCATTCAGTTCCAGGCATTGAATTTGGAAACCTTTGTTCTTGGATTAAAAGTCATAAACTTTAAAAAACAAATCTGTTTATCCAAAAAGATAGGTAAATCATGCACTGAGCTTTTAATTTCTTTGATGTTTGGTATTCTTGCATAAAACATAAAAATTAAGCTAATATTACAGTTTACTGATGTATATTGAAGGCAAATAAGCCATTTTGATTAGTAACAGATAGCCAGGCAATGGTGGCACACGCCTTTAATCCCAGCACTCTGGAGGCAGAGACAGATGGATCTCTGTGAGTTTGAGGCCAGCCTGGTCTACAAAGGGAGTTCAGGAGAGCCGGGGCTACACAGGGAAACCCTGTCTCGACTCCCCCCTCCAAATGGTTAATTAGTGACAGATATGTAGCATGTCCCTATTACAAATGTAAGTCTTGGAGAAGTGTCCTTCACGGTGTCCCCATGGGTGGTGGGGCCTCCGTGAGTGGGTGTAGGTAGAGGTGGGTGCTCAGGGACGACCTGCCACCAGTGGACCTGTTTTTCATTATGTTTTGGAACATAGTTTTCTCAGAAAATATTTTCTTTAGGTTAAAGGAAAATGCTAAGGCTGGCATGGTAGTACATGCCTGTAATCCCAGGGTGACTAAGTCAAGGCCAGCCTGGGCTACATAGCCATACCCTATTTCAGAAAGAGAGAGGGAGAGGGAGAGAGGGAGAGGAAAAAGAGAAGAGAAAGGTACTGTTACAGCCAGTGTCACCTTAAAACAGGACAACAGATGTGTCCAGCATCCTTTTCTCATTCTTTGCTTTTTCTCTTTCTGGTTTTCTTTCCATCTTTCTTTCTTTTTTCTTTTTTCTTTTCTTTTCTTTTTTTTTGACAGGAGACAGGTCTCTGTTTAGCTTTGGCTATACTGGAACTCTGTGTAGACCCGGCTGTCCTAGAACTCAAAGATATCCACCTGCCTCTGCCTCCTAAGTGCTGTGATTAAAGGCATGAGCCACTATGCCTGGTCTCGAGTATGGTTTCTTAAAAAGTGTCCATCACAAACGTGGTCCCAGCGGCCACCTCCAGCCCAGGAGTGAGTTCAGGTTGCAGTGCCTTAGGATGTCCCGATAACTGTAAGGATGCTCCTTCCCTGAATACCCAGTTAGAACTGCGCCAACGCTCTCGGAGACTTTCATGGCTGCTGTGGGGTCAGTCCTGCTGTGAGCAGCCCCAAGGTCGCCTGGCGAGCCCAGGTGGGCACACTGATGTCGTGCCCCGCTTGTGTTATTTATTAGCTGCGGCCGTCTCTGTCCTGGCTCGCCCCTCCTCCTCTGACCTTCTCTCTGACCAGCCATCATGACATTTACTATGAATTTACTTCCTCCCCAGAATTTGGACTGGCCGTCAAATTGTTGCTACACACAATTGCCTTTGTATCTCTGTATGAAATAAAAGGTCATTTGTTCCTGTTTGTGTTGATTCTTCTCCGTTTCATTGTTAGCAGTTCCTGTTAAACGGTGTTAACTAGAGTAAGATTAAATCACCGCTCCCCTTTGTAGTCTTTTTTTAAAAAGAACAAACCAAGTCTGCCTTCGAACCACAGAATACCATTTTTAATTTTTATTTATTGTGTGGGTGTGGTGATCAGAGCACAACTTGGGAGTCGGTTCCCCCTTCCCATTATGTGGGGCCCAGGGATCGAATTCGGGTTGTCATCGGATTTGGCTGTAGATGCCTTACCGGCTAAGCATCTCACCAGCTCTCAAATTATGGATTTGTGTGTATGTGTGTGTTCGTGTGTTCTATCTGCAGGTAGACCTGCAGGCCAGAAGAGGGCATCAGATCCCTTTATAGATGGTTGTGAACTACCATGTGGTTGCTGGGAATTGAATTCAAGACCTCTGGAAGAGCAGCCAGTGCTCTTAACTGCTGAGCCATCTCTTCAGCCCCTGATTATGGACTATTTTAACAGGATGTTTAGCCTTTTAAAGTGTACTTTGCTTAAAGTAAGCCTCAACATAAGAATGTAGTGAGGGCCAGACTATTGCCACTTAGCTGTGATTGGCTAAAGCCTGAGGGTTTTAAATTGCCTTTTGTGTTATATTATGAACAGCATACCAGGTGTTAATGGAGAGTGTGTTTCCTGGGGGCTCCTGTCATATGCAAGTCACCAGAAATGACTAGGGTAAGTTGAATATGGAAAAAGGAAATCAGCAGTCACCCAAAAAAAAAAAAAAAGGAGCGAGAAATGATGCTATAGATATGACTCAGTGTGTAAGAAGCATTGTGCCACAAATGTGAGGACCTGAGTTCAGATCCCCAGAAGTCCCATCAAAGTAGGCATAGTAGCACACGTGTGTCATTCAGTGTCCCTGCAGTGAGACGGGAAGGGACAAGTGACTCCCCAAAAGCTGGAGGGCCAGCGAGCTTGGCATAAGTGGCGGTAAAACAAAAGATGCTGTCTCAAGGTGGAAGGCGGGGACTGATGCCCGAGGTCCTCTGGCCTCCGCATGGGTGCCAGGGCATGTGCACCAGTGCTCACACAGCCTCACATAAGAATACAAGTCTCCAGTATCGCGTTTGCAAGCTAGCAAAATCTGGCATATGCTAGAAACAGAGCAATCCTAAAGGAGTTTAAGCGACGAAGTGGAATGGTTTGTGTGAGTGGCTGCAATGACCCTCTAAGGAGGAGTGTCAGGGTCAGAACATGGCCTCCCCAACAGAGGACCTTGTGGAAGGAACCAACACTGGATGAGCCACAGATTCCTCGATCTGAAACACATGGTGCCACCAGGCAGGCTGGTTGTTGGAACATAGAATCCGTTAGCCTGTGCCCTAAGCTGTCCTGCAGGGAAGTCGGGCTGTTAAAGGGGAATCCTTGAGTACAGAGAATCGGGCAGCAATACCTGCTCTTATCCCTTGCAGTGGCCCGACTGAAAGCAGCTGTATAGAGCAGGGTTTATGTTGGCTCATACCTCAGGGGAGTGCAGTGCACCATGGCAGAGGAGGCGGAGCAGCCGCGAGCCGCAAGGTTGGTGATGCCAGCCAGGAAGGAGAGGAGGGAATGTGTTCAGCTGGCTTTCTCTCCCATTCCCCTTTTTGTTCTGTCCAGGATCACAACCCATGGAAAGGTCCTGCCAGATCCCAGCGTGGGTCCTCTCTCAGTTAAATCTCTCTGGAGACTCAAAGATATCCTCAGAGGGGTTGGAGAAACGACTCAGCACCTAAGAACACTTGCCGCTCTTGCAAAGGACCTAGGTTCAGTTCCCGGTACCCACACGACAGCTCACAATCAGCTGTGGCTCCAGTTCCAGGGGATCCAACGCCCTCTTCTGGCCCCATAGACACTAGGCACTCATGTGGTACACACACACACATCGATGCAGGCAAAGTACTCACACATGAAATAAAAGAAAAAAGACACTCAGAGCTGTGTCTCCTAGGTGATTCCAAATCCAGTCAAATTGACAAGACTAACCACTGGCAAAATCCAATCAGTAAAGTTACCAGGGAGCTGACTCAGAAAAAAAATGAAGATCAACTTTCAGCAGATAGCCACCCCAGAAATGCTGGGGGTGCCCTCCCCCCATTTTAACCTTAAAAATATTTTGGGAAAGATTATATTTTCTTTCACACATTTTTACTTCAAGTTTGACAGGTGATTTGTTTTGGTTGGTTAGTTTTAGATAGTCTCCAGTAGCACAAGTTAGTATCCAATTCCTATTGCCAAGGACAGTGTGGACTTCAGGTCATCTGTCCCACCTCCATGAAGCGATGGGGTTACAGATATGGGCCACCATTCAAAGCTCTTATATTTCAATAGCAAAGTGTGGGGGCTGGGGTGTAGCTTGGTGATAGAGCTCTCGTCTAGCATGCATATGAGTACCCTGGGCTCAATGCCCAGCACAACTTTATAATTGCCGGTGTGTTGTGGATTTTGAGATTGTTTCATACAGGTATCAAGTGGAACCCACTATCACCCAGGGTTTTTGTTTGTTTTTTCGTTTGGTTATTGTTTTGATACAGGGTTTCACTGTGGAATGCATGCCATCCTGAAACTCAGGGAGGCCTGCCTGCCTTTGCCTCCCCAGTAATGATAGTGAAGGTGGTGTGGTCCACCATAGCTGGCACCTAGCATCCTTTTGAAAAGGCACGTATATGGAGCTCTGGGGAAATGCTGAATCCCCTGTCCCTCCCTTGAAACTCAATGGGGTTTTGTTTTCTTGTTTGCAGTACTGGGCTAGCACACACTCAGGGCTAGCACACACTCAGGGCTAGCACACACTCAGGGCTTTGCACACACTCAGGGCTTTGCACACACTCAGGGCTTTGCACACACTGGGCCAGCTTTCTACCACTAAGTGACCGCTGTGGCTCTAAACTCCTGTTTCTCTTTCTTTCCTAATAATTTTTTTAATAATTGAACCCAGGGTCTAGAGCATGCTAGGCAAGCACTCTTACTATTAAAACACATCCCTAGCCATTTAAAAAAAATTTCTTTAAAAAAAAAAAAAAAGTGTTCCTGTTCTTCAAATGCTTAGGCAGAGCCAGGCGCATCTCTGTGAGTTCGAGGCCAGCCTGGGCTACAAAGTGAGCTCCAGGAAAGGCGCAAAGCTACAC